TTTGGAACCTTGCAGTTACAAGGTTCATATTAGTAAAAAATGAAATAAGAATATTTTACCCTTACCCAATAAAAACCTTGTCCATTTTCAAGGATCTTTAGAGAGAATGAATTAGAATAGTCTAAATAATTTTCCAACTTCTCCTCTAGCCACCCTGCTCCTGACATAATATTGAGCCTTTGAAAAATACCTATAGGTATAAAGTCCTTCAAGTAAAATGGTCCTTCATGAACTGTCATCATGAATTGGTCTGAAAGTTGTTTAACTCACATAGCTTCCTTGAATGGTAATTTCTGAATAGAAAGATTCTCACAAAAAGATTGTGTATTGCATTGAGATGTCTTGCAAAGTTGCAGTAAGATATGTAAGAGTGCTCTCTGTGAAGATAGTGAAGTTTGTGGGTTCTGGTTTTATGTAATTTGGTTAGGTTGTGCAGTATATCCATTGTTTCCGTGTTACTCTTATGAGCATGAAATTAGACTATTAAATTTGTATTTTCTTGGTACTTATTTTAACACCATAGTCATTGACTTTACAATTCAAAAATAAAAGTTTGGCAAGACTATTTTGTAAACCTGTTAATTTTATAATGTAAAAAAATTACTCTAACCTTGAATTGTTATTTGCACTTTCATAGTCTATACTTGATACATTCCCACTTTATATACAGGTAGGATACTACAACCATGTAGATGTTTGGCCAAATGAATGCTGTTAATAATATGTAAAATTCTTTGATTAAACATTTATTACTTAAACTAATTCCGTTCTGTCTCATTACATCTTAAGACTTACTGTAGCAGGTCCTTGAGACTGCTGACAGACATTTTTAGGGTATGTTCAGTACTGTGCCAGATCAGTTGGACACCATATAGTAAGCTGAATGTTTTGATTTGTAAATATAAAGTACCATTAAGTATCATTAAGCTTTGAAAAGAAATCTAAAATAGAATTTGCCTTAATTGCTACAGCCATATTGTGCACTTGTTCTTTGTAGAGTGCCTCGTCACTATGAGTAGTGGTGCCAAAGAGGGGGGGCTAATTTTTGTGAAAGATTCTGTTAATTAGTGTTACTTAAGTGCCACTTAAGTGCCACTTAATATCCACTTTCCATTGTTACCTGGAAATTCCGGAGTGCCTCTGTTACATTAATAACACTAAACAATTTTGTTCATTGTTACTGTAACATCATCAGCTTCCTCCACCAAGCATGCCAAGATCATGGAATCACAGACTGGTTTGGGTTGGAAGGCACCTTAAAGACCATGTTGTTCCAATCCTCCTTCCATGCCCAGGGACACCTTTCGTTAGACCAAGCTGCTCAGATGGAGCAGTGATGGAGCATTCCCAGCTTCTCTGGGCAGCCTGTTCCAGTGCCTCAGCACAGAAGGCATCCCGCTGTAATAGGGAGGGTGGAGACAAGGAAAGCCAAAACAAGGACACAATGAGAGCCAGTTTCTTTACAAGCAATTGTCTGGCTCAAGAGACAGCTTTAACATGCCTTGAAAGAACCAAGTACTCATGGTCATTGTAAAGCCATCTCTGCCATTGCTTCACCTACCAATGTCCCTCGTGAGGGCCAAAAACCAAAGACCTCACAAAATCCAGGGTGAATTCCTGGCTCTACTATAAGTTCAAATGAGTAATTAAGACCCAAAAGCTGCAAAGACAGATGCATTTTACTTATGCAAGTAATAACTGTGCAACACATCTGAAGAATAGCATCAGTTGTGGCTCTGGGAATTAAGGGAATACAAGCTGCTTTTCTCACAGGAGAGCTGTTAAGTACAGAACCTTAGAACAGAACTGTGTGAAAATGTAGACTGCACCAGTCCGTCAGATTTATACCAGATTTCATGCATTTACAACACAAATATTTCTGGAGAAGCAGTCCATGTGCATCCTCTGCAGCTGTCTGTGGAACAGTGACACACACATCATAAGAGTAAAGAATTCCTCAGCTGTGAGCCAGCTGACTGTAGGGTAGCAGTAAGAAGTTAGAAGGAAGCAATGCAATTAAATCCACTGCAGAACAATTCAACTACTGAAGCAGGAAATGAGCAGTGTGTGCTGATTTGTATCACTTTCAATAAAAACTACTCACTGAGAGCTCCTGAGGAGAAATGGTTCTGTACTGACAGCCAGAGTGTCTAACACAGTCCCCCTCCACAGGCGGTGCCAACATTTTATTTCCTCCACTTCTTTGTGGAGTCTACATTGGAAGTTTCACAGAGCAGATACGGGCTCTGATGACTCCAAGGGCAGCCCTTTCTCTTACTGGGGTAAAAATAAAATAAACTGAAAATACACATTAACTGGAAGAAAGCATTTACTCTGCAACTTTAGCTGAGCTTACACAGTGCAAAATGCCTCAGCTGCATCAGGTACTTCCAGTCAGGCCTCAGACTGAGTCAGCCCACTCCAGCTCCAAAAAGAGGCTAGTTCTGTTAAGGAGAATCAGGAAACTGAAGAGGATGCTCAAAATTTGGGACTGACATTTTAAGGCTTGAGATCCTCTGGAGTGAAAGTACTTTAAGTAAAGTCCTGAGCCCCACCTCTCCTACCCATAACTACCAGGTATTCAGCAACTCTCAGAACATTTCAGCTACTGCCCACGATAAAAGACATGCTGGGTGTAATTTCTGACAAAACATCACAACCACTGTTCTTTGTGTCACCTTCCAGGTGAGGTAGGGATGATCAGACTGCACTGACAGCAATCCCTGCCTCTCTGGTCTTACACAAGGCCAACAGAATAATCATACCAAGAACACTGTAATCTCAAGGTGTGTTTTACTGGGGTTCCATTGAAATGACAGAACCACACTTGTCAAGATATACTCAACTAAAACTTTTTGACAACATAAAAATGGTTGTCTGAACCATTTTTTAATTATCTTACACTACCACCTCAGATTAGGGTTCTTAAAGCTTAAGCTTTATTCATCTGGGGTTTTTTATTCAAGTTATTATTTAAAAGCAGAAGGAATAATCACAGTGGATAACTTAACAACAATATACAGGAGCATATTTAATTAAGAGTATACACATATATGTAAACCACACACAGAAAAGACCCTGCACATGGTTTCAGAAAGACCAAGGGGTTAGAAGCCAGGAGTCAGGAAGACTGCAGAACTGGAACTGAAAAAAACAACTATTGCAATTTTTATTTGCTATCCATTAACAATAAATCTTATAAAATTCACAAAATAAAAACCTTCACAAAGTATTAGGTACTTATCTTGACAGAAATGGACATTGTCATGCATTTCTAGCCTGTTTCTACCCAGCCTAGTGAAGCTATGCCAACGTGATGGCAGTGAGAGGGGCCCAGCAGTGGGGGACTGCTGAGGTTAGGAACAAAGCAGGCAGAAGCTGCAAAAAAAAGTGGTGGGAAGAGCTTAAGGGCTCTGAGGGATCACTGATCTGCAAAATACAACTACAGAAAGATGCATTAAAGAAAGAGAATACAAAAAAAATGCACCTGATAAGTATAAACAGCTTGAAAAGAGATGAGGGTAAATCAGGATTTAAACCAAAACTGAGGAATAAATATGGCACCTGAGACAAGAAAGTCAAATTTGGTGTGAAAGAGGCAAGCAAGAGGTTAAACACAGCTGTCCATGAGCCAGTAGCAACCCAGGCACACCCTGTATCCACTGCATGCTGCATTAGGGGAGCATCTATTAATCAATCCCTGCAAATTATGGCTCTTTGTGTCCACTGAGGACAAGACAAAAATCAATTTCATTTGGACCAAAGAAGCTTCAAATAAACCCTAAGGACAGAAACTGAATATGAGAACTAAGAGACTGCAAATGCTCATGCATGACTGAGCATTTCTTTCATAACATCCCACTAGAAAAACATCTACAGGGGATGGCCCACAGCCATGTGAGTGGCAGTAGGTGAGGAACCACATGTTAGATCCATGGTTCCTACATTTGGCTCTCAAAGCTTCACAAAGGCATGTGTTCATTCCCTAGCCTTTTAAACTACTGACTTGGCTCTCAAAGCTTCACAAAGGCATGTGATACATGATTGAGGCTTCATGCAAGAGGGGCAGAGAATCACAGAGTGGTTTGTGTTTGAAGGGGACCTTGAAGATCACCTAATTCTAACCACCCATGCCATGGGCAGGGTCACCTTCCTTTCGACCAGGTTGTTCACAGCCCCACCCAACACAACCTTGAACACTTCCAGGGATGGGGCATCCACAAATTCTCTGGGCAGCCTGTTCCAGTGCCTCACCACCTTCAAAGCAAATGATTTTTTCTAAATATTTTATCTAAATGAAGGCCAAAACTGGCATATGTCGAGGGTAACATCCACCAACACTTTCTCCTGAATCAGGACAATCATTGCAGCCCATCTCCTGTCCCCTGATTTTCTGTTGAGCTAGAAGAGTGACAGCTATAAATCCTTGAATGACAGCACATGGCATCCCCTGCAAACAGGAACAGCACCAGAGATGGCTTCTGCTGCACAGAATCACAGAATGTGAGGGGCTGGACGCTGCCTTAAAGATCATCTAGTCCCAGCCCCCTGCCATGAGCAGGGACACCTCCCACTAGACCAGGCCTTATCCAGCACGGCTTTGAACACTGCCAGGTTTGAGGCCTCCCTGGGCAACCAGTTTCAGTGTCTTACCACATTCACAGTAGAAAATTTCTTCCTAATATCTAATATAAATGCTCCGTCTTTCAATTTGTACCCTGTCCTGTTCTGTCACTGCTGTTCCTGACAAAGAGTCCCTCTGGCTTCCCTGCAGGTCCCCTTCAGACACTGGAAGGTGCTGCGAGGTCTCCACACGACCTTCTCCAGGCTCACCAGCCCCAGCGGCACCGTCGGGCCCCGGCCCGCCTCCGTCCCTCGCCGGCACCGCCGGGACACCGCTCTCTGAGCCGCGGCTCCGGCCGAGGCCAGAGCAGCCCCTGAGGGGGCCGGGCTCCGTTTGTCCCGGGGCCGGGGCACGGCCGCCGCCAGCAGAGGGCAGGCCCGGNAGGGGCCGGCGCCGGGGCCGCTGTGGGCGCCGCGCTCCCGCCGCTCGCTGTCGGGCCCGCGGGCCCCGCGCCGGCCTCAGGATGCCGCTGGGGCTGAAGCCCACCTGCAGCGTGTGCCGCAGCACGTCCTCCTCCATGTGGAAGAAGGGCGGGCAGGGCGAGATCCTGTGCAACAACTGCACGGCCCGCTCGGCGCCGCCGCCCCCCGCCGCCTTCGCCACCACCTCGGCGGCCGCCGCGCAGCACAGCAACGGCGGCGGCAGCGGCGGCGGAGGCGGCGGCGGCGGGAAGCAGGTGAGGAGGCCGAAATGCAGCCGCCGGGGCCGGGCGGGGCTGGGCGGGGCTGGGGCCGGGGTGTTCGGGCCGTCCCCCTTGTGCTCATCCTGCCGTTCCCCGCAGAGCAAGCAGGAGATCCACCGCCGCTCCGCGCGGCTCAGGAACACCAAGTACAAGTCTGCGCCCGCCGCGGAGAAGAAGGTTTCCACGAAGGGCAAGGGCAGGAGGCACATCTTCAAGCTCAAAAACGTAAGGCGGAGCGCCGGGGCCGGGCTGGGGCGGGAGCCTGGGCCGGGCTGGGGCGGACACGGAGCCCGCGGGAGGAGTGGAAGAGAAACCGGTCATGGGAGTTCGGCACTCCTTCTCCACAAAAAATCCTGGCGGTGAAAACGTTAGCTCTGCTGCTTTGAGCTTTAAAGTAATAATGTTTGCTGGTTTTCTTAGAAGATAATGTATCTGTATGTTGTCTAAAAGGAGAAACTATTTCTGGAACTTTACGGTTGATTTGTTTTAATGCTCTTGATTTTCTATTTCTATATTATTTTCTTAGCCCATCAAGGCTCCTGAGTCCGTATCAACTATAATTACAGCAGAATCAATCTTTTATAAGGTATGGTTTATGCAAATCTATCGGCAAAAATGATTATCCTGTTTCTGTTTCCAGTGCCAAGAATTATCATGGACAGTGAAAGCACTAGGTGTACAGTCACAGAAACTGTTTTTCCTTGCCCATCAGCTGTGTCGGATTTACCATAGTTATTGCCGTTAAGTCTTGCAAGGTAGTTTACCTAAGCAGTTTAAATAGTTACCATTGTCCCAGGCTCTTTTTTTAATTAATTGCTGTCAGCATTTTTAAACTTAACTTGCACTGTGCAGAGGTCATGAGATTTGTGTGATATTTCCTACCTTAGGTGCAGAACATGTTTCCCATAGAGGGGGTGGGTTGCAGTGCCCCAGTATTTCAGCTGGCTCCCATTTGAGAGCTGGTGCAAGCAGTCCCTTGGGAACAAGATCTGTTGGCACTTGCAGTGGTGCAAGAGGGAGCCTTCTGACATTCATGCTTGAGAGCAGCTTTACCAGCCTGCCAAGGTGTTGGTGTTCTAAAGTTCTGAAACTTGCTTTTGTTTCCCAGCAGTACAAGCAAACAGAATGTTTTTTCCCCCTTTTCCTCCCCAAAAAAGTCAGAATAGGCAGTGGGAGACTGCACAGCCAGTGGTGGCCTGAGATTCCATACTCTCCAGGGACCTGATGCTTCATGTCTGGTATTCCAGATGAATCTCTTGTTTGCTGTTGACAGTTCAGAAAATAATTACTGTCTTGTGTGTTTGTTTTTATCAGAAATTCCTGAGAACTATGTCAAAGCTTCTGTCCTCCTTATGTAGAAGGTTGCTACTTTGATGCTTTGCAGTGTTGTTGTGAATAGGCTTGTTTGGGGTTGTTAGTGTTCTTTTTGTCTGTTTCAAAAACAAACACCTTTCTTTCATATGCCACCATTCTTTTGCATGTGGCTGAATTCTAGCTACCTTTCAAGACTGGCATAAATTAGGATAATTTAGGGTAGTGATACTTAATATATGAATCAGGATGTGAAGTGAAGCTGACAAAAACCAGGTTGTTTGATTTCAGTGTCATTTGTATGTCTTCTAGGGTGTATACTACCAGATTGGAGATGTTGTTTCGGTGGTTGATGAGCAGGATGGAAGAACGTACTACGCTCAGATCCGTGGGTTTATTCAGGACCAATACTGTGAAAAGAGTGCTGCACTAACCTGGCTCATTCCTACACAAGCCAGCCCCAAAGACTGCTTTGACCCAGCATCCTATATCATAGGTAATCTCTAAGCCTTCACTTCATGCAGCTACTTGGATGTGCCTATGCTAAAGCAGAGTTGTGTTCTTTAAATTAACATTTTAGCTTCACCAGGTACTTTATGCACGTTCTGCATTTTAGACTCTGATCTTGTAAACATCTAATTTACTGTAATAACACTTTTTATTTATCTTGTGTATATAATATGATTACCACTATTGCAGTGTGTGATTATCTTGTACTGTGATTATCTGAGTGTTTGTGGGTACAATTACAGTTGTGCAGCTTTAAAGATCAAATTATTGATAGGTTTATATCATAGTAACTTTGATTCTGATATACCAGTCCAAGTTGTTTCTTCTAAAGTGACCTGAATTACTTGATCTTTATCCTGGGTATTTAAAATACATAGCATGCAAGCACTGGCATAGAGACTGTTCTGCTACCGATGATAACATTAGTAATTCAGAAAAGTCCTTCTAACAGGCAGGACACAAATAGAATGTATTTTAAATATATTAACTACAGTATTTCACTCAAATACCAGAATGCTTCAAATGGGATGGGGGGGAAGTTCAGCCCAGCAAAATTAAAGGCAGAGGTTTCTTGCCTAATACAGGAGGCTACCTTCCTAGGAAAGTCATGGATTGCAAAGGCAAATTCTGTAAGGGAATGTTGGCTGTTGTGGCATATTTTTATTCAACATATTTATTTTTATGCCTTTAAGTTTTGTCTTTGAATTTTTTTTTCTAGGACCAGAAGAAGATCTCCCAAGAAAAATGGAATATTTAGAATTTGTTTGTCATGCACCTTCCGAATATTTCAAATCTCGATCATCTCCCTTCCCTACTGTTCCTACAAGGCCAGAGAAGGGCTATATATGGACTCATGTGGGACCTACTCCTGCAATCTCCATTAAAGAAACTGTAGCCAATAATTTATAGTTTTTAAGGAATACTTTGGACTAGTTATTTTGTGTGTATCCTCCAGTTTGTAAAGCCCTTACAAGAAGTTTTAAAAATTGTAAAATGTGCCGGTTTATTTTACAGATTATGATATTTATTTTTTTTAGATCTATCAGACCTTGGAAGTGGAAGTTTTCATTCCAGTTGATGCATCATTTTGGTGCTCTGCTCTTCAGACATTATTGCTCATCTTGGGACAAAACCACAAGTTTCATGTCATCTTTGGCTTCTGAAAGTTGCCTTTAGTATTCATTCTTACTTTTTAAGTTATTTTCCAGAAGAGGAGTTTAAAAGATACAATCATCCAGCATTTTATATGACTGTTTAATTTAGTTAACTGTGACTGCTGGTTTTATTTCCTTATTAACTAATTTAAGACTAGCTTCACCTAAATACTAAAATGGTCAATGATGCACTTAACAGTTTTCTGTTACATGGAGAGGAGTGTTCTACATGGATTTCTCCAGACTAAACCCTCATCCACAAAGAGGAACCCTAACAGTCACCTTTTATGAGAATTTTGTTAATCTGAATCTGAAATGTGGGCTATGTGTGTAGATTTCTGCTAAACTTACTTATATAAGGGCGTAAATTTCCTGGAAAATTTGATGCAAATTCAAAAATTAATGTTATTTGCCATCCTGGCATTCTCATTGCAGAAGTATATCTGCATTTCCTGAGCAAGCCAACACTGACATATGATTTGAGTTTCACACTGTTAATATTTGTTTGCCTGTTAGCTTAGACTCATAAAATTTATTTTAAATTGTTTTTTCAGTCTTCACAATTAATGATGGTAAGAAAAAAAAATGGTCAGGCAAATAAAATGAAGAAAAATCAATAAGGGAAATAAAAATTATTTTATGTATTGACAGTCTCAGCATAATGAGGAATATGTATAAATAGCAGAATGGGAGAAATGCCACATACCAATGAAGTTTTCTGCCCTAAACTTTACAAGCCAGTCAGCTCCAAACACAGAGAGATGTGCTTGTATGGCCTGAATTTCAAGGGCTTAGTGGTTCCTGCTGCTTGTGAAGGATGAGAGCTGTAAGTGGCCTTAAGTTTAAATGTACTGATCTTTTCCATTTTTTGTCGTTTGTATGAACATAATGTTGCACTAGGCACATTATTCTAACTTTATGAAAGGCTTTGATTTAAGATGTAACAGATTTGAAAGTCAGGTATTGACAACTTTTAATGCAGTGGGACCTGTGAGGGCAGGAACCAGACAGACTTGTTGTGGCCTGCAGCCTCTGTTCTGCCCTCTTCAAATACAAGGAAGAACAATCAGCCTTAAGGGAGTAGATGCTAAAGATAAGGGATACTGTCAATAATTCAAAATGCTCAGAAATTAGCAGTAGATTGGTAATACAGTGTTAAATCTTAATCTTAAATCAGTGTTAAATCAGTCACAAAGATGAGATGTGTGCCTGTGTTCAGTGCGTTGCAGTGATTAATCCCAAGTGCAGTGATTAATCTCGCTTCTCTCCACTCTCTCAATTCCTCTGGGTTTCTTTCTTCTTATTTCTTTATTAACAATTCAAGAAAATAAAAATAACAAATCCTATATTTACAGTAACCAGAGTAACTTCCTTAAATCAAATGTTTTCCTTCCTTTCTCTGCAGTCCACAAGGTTTTCACTGTCAAGTCCCTGTGCTGCCTCAGCATAATCCATGGACCTGTCCTCTTCTGTGGGCTGTTTTACCTTATCTGAATTACCAGGGTTGGAAAAGGCCTTGATGGTCATTGAGCCCAATGAAGCTTAGCTGTGTTCCTTGTCAAATCCTTATAGGAATAAGGAGGGAAACAATGCTTTACATTGTTTTGGTTTTTTGAGTTCCTACAAGGTACATCAATCGAAGAGTATTTTTTGCCATTTCCCTTATTTGTCAATAAATTTTAATATAAAAGGGACAATTCATTTTACATCAGAATACACCTTTCTAAAATTCAATGCTGCTGGCAATTCAAGTACTATACTTCCACCTGCAGAGAGCTATGGAACAACTTCCTTTAGTAAACACTAAGTATTTTTCTTTTAGTTCATTTTTTTATTATACTGGGAAATGTTAAAAAATAATTCAGATGAACAAGAATTCTGAGTGTAAGGTCTCAAAAGAGAGTGGATCTGCAGGCAATGACTGTTGCTAAAGTGTTACACTTCATTTATACATATTTGAATGGTTGCACTGTCCTGTTTTTCTTGTGTTCAGAACATCACCCAGTAACACAGGGAAAAAGATTAATTCTCCAGAAAGCTTCTTATGGATGGACATAGCTGAAGAGTGGGACCTCCAAGAGCAACGTCTCTGAAAATTCTTCATCTCTCTCATATTAAGAAAATGGAAGACAAAATGAAGACCTGCAAAATGGACTCAACAGCAGAAGGGATATCAGAGGATTCTGTGGGGACAGGTTTTGATGCCCTGCAGCTGAGGGAGCTGAGCTCAACCATTTCTGTCCTCTAGCTTGGCAATTCCCCATGACAAATTGTAGGTAGGTTTCATATTTGTATCACTGGACTATGGGTGGATACGCTGCTGCTGAATTCATGGCCTTGTGTTGAGCTCCAGAGTTGTGACCAGCCAACAGTAATTTTCATCTAGGCATTTTAGTTCTAAAGATGGAACTTGTAGCTAAGAACCAAAAGTCACAGAGCACGTATAAAACAGTGATTACCACGTAGACATGTGGCCTGTGCCCTGAGGCACACACTGTAGGAAATCTGTGGGAGGAGTAGCCCTTAACTTTCACATGAACTTTACTAAAACAATACTTACTGGAGAAGGGTTTCCATTTGGGCAATGGCTTTGCTGGGAGCAGAATACTTTCTGTGAAAATGTGATGCAAACACAATGGATAAATAAGTGTGTGGCTCCTTGAGCTCCTAAAATGAAGCTGGGGTTCCTCTCTTGCTGCTGTGCTGTGCTACCTGACAATCATCTCAGTCATCCTGGCAGAGGCTGGATGAGGCCCCTACAGCTTGGTATCCAAGCCAATCCAATAGCTTTGCTTTCATGTAATGCAGCCTTCAACCTTAACAATAATATTATGCAAGAAACAAAGCATACATGTATTGTGGTTGGTGATACATTATCTATTATGATTAATAAAGGCCCTAAATAGTCCTACAAAATAGAAGAAAAATATTAATAGGTGTAGTATTGAAGTTTCAACTGCTCTTTAAGTTACTGAATTAGAAAGACAAATGATAATTTTATTCTATTTTCACAGAGATAGAATTGGTATATCTGTTAGATAGGAGACTACATCCCTCCAAAATTATGGAAGATGAGCATTATGTGCCCAAGCAGAAACAATTTTACAAAAGTTAGTAGTTTTAATAGTTCTTTTTGTGTGCTCCCTACTACACAATCTTGTGATCACTGACAACAGAATTTTGTATTTGACAATTGTTTCTCTTTCACCCACACAGTCACGTTTACCTTCAGGAAGAGTACATTAGTTTTTTTTTAACTCAGCCCTTCTAGTTGGTGATTTGTTATTCTTGAACTTAGCCTACAGCTTCAGTGAAATTATTTTTCTTTTCTGGTTTGGTAGCTTCAATCACAAGAACAATTTCATGGACAACATCTCCAGGTGGTTCATGCCTCTTTATGAAATGCTTCAAGTGCTTGGATGTCTGTTTAATCAAACAGAAGTATTACTGGAATCTAGTTTTGATAGAAGGTTGTTTTAACCTGAACATATCAAGATTATCCTGTGCAGAGCATTTAGACTCAGAGCAGTTAACCCAGGCACTTGCTTACATATGGCAGTTTGGCTCCTGCGACATCTTTTGAACTCCTTCATTTAGGGAGAACAGAGCAGGAGTACTCCTTTTTTCTCATGAAGCTGTCTAGGGCCAAAGTTGCTTTCAGTAGTTCCACCTGTCTTCCTACACTCCATCAGTGTCCATGGGCACTTCCTTGCTGAAGACCATCACATCTCTGTGCCTTGGTCAGTGTAAAGTACCCTGTTGTAAACTGGCTCTGTCAACTGATCCAGGTTTGAAACACACACAACACCTTTCCTCTTAACACAAATCTCCCCCTAGAACTTCAGGAGGAATGTTCAGTTTTGTATTCAGATACTCAAACCCTTGATAATCCTTCTCAGTGTATGTAGAATCCTACATAATTGATGTTCCCTTTCTCTCCAATTAAGTTACTTTTGTATAAAATTACACTGTAAGGCTGGTTGTGGTGTTGAATCTGAATTATGTAAGCAGAATTTGGGAACCTCTTCTCTCCTAAGCCTAGATTTCAGTAGGTCATTAAAAATTAAAGCAAAGAGTAACTTGTCCTTTTAATCCATGTGCCCTTCTTATGTATCTATTTCCCAAACTGTGGGAATACACATACAGAATTTTCCAATTACCTCTCCTAAAGGAGGTTCTGGGAGCATTCTTAGGGCTCTTTTTCTAAACTATGTCATAAAAGACCATTGCTAGGCAAAGTAAAAGACTTGTCTCTTCTTTACAAGAAGCTGATTGCAAACTGAAGGAAATGGAAGCAGCTTTGGCATTTATTGTTTGCCAAAACAAAACCAAAAGCAACTACTTCATGCCTGCAGAGTTTGCAGAGCCTGACTATGGCTTAGTTGCTCCACTGATAAGTGGAAATGATATGTTGTAACTTAACATATCTACATAAGGCTATACAAAGGAACAAATACTGGGACAATGCCAAGGCACATATTGCAATGTACTTCCTTGGTGGGCTTTCTAGTCAAACAACCCAGCAGCTCCTGAATAAGTTGAGACCATCAGGAAAGAAGCATCCACCTCAGTTTTTAGTGACCAGCAATATTTTTGACACCAAGGTCAAAGACAGAGAAAAGTAAACTCTCTTCTAGAAAATTAGGCATTTTAGTTCTAAAGATGGAACTTGTAGCTAAGAACCAAAAGTCACAGAGCACGTATAAAACAGTGATTACCACGTAGACATGTGGCCTGTGCCCTGAGGCACACACTGTAGGAAATCTGTGGGAGGAGTAGCCCTTAACTTTCACATGAACTTTACTAAAACAATACTTACTGGCGGAGGGTTTACGTTTGGGCAATGGCTTTGCTGGGAGCAGAATACTTTCTGTGAAAATGTGATGCAAACACAATGGATAAATAAGTGTGTGGCTCCTTGAGCTCCTAAAATGAAGCTGGGGTTCCTCTCTTGCTGCTGTGCTGTGCTACCTGACAATCATCTCAGTCATCCTGGCAGAGGCTGGATGAGGCCCCTACAGCTTGGTATCCAAGCCAATCCAATAGCTTTGCTTTCATGTAATGCAGCCTTCAACCTTAACATTAATATTATGCAAGAAACAAAGCATACATGTATTGTGGTTGGTGATACATTATCTATTATGATTAATAAAGGCCCTAAATAGTCCTACAAAATAGAAGAAAAATATTAATAGGTGTAGTATTGAAGTTTCAACTGCTCTTTAAGTTACTGAATTAGAAAGACAAATGATAATTTTATTCTATTTTCACAGAGATAGAATTGGTATATCTGTTAGATAGGAGACTACATCCCTCCAAAATTATGGAAGATGAGCATTATGTGCCCAAGCAGAAACAATTTTACAAAAGTTAGTAGTTTTAATAGTTCTTTTTGTGTGCTCCCTACTACACAATCTCGTGATCACTGACAACAGAATTTTGTATTTGACAATTGTTTCTCTTTCACCCACACAGTCACGTTTACCTTCAGGAAGAGTACATTAGTTTTTTTTTAACTCAGCCCTTCTAGTTGGTGATTTGTTATTCTTGAACTTAGCCTACAGCTTCAGTGAAATTATTTTTCTTTTCTGGTTTGGTAGCTTCAATCACAAGAACAATTTCATGGACAACATCTCCAGGTGGTTCATGC